TGGATGACACCGTTTCGAACACAATCCATTATTGTTCATAATCATATCATCAATTATAATCACACGACTTCGACACTTGAGTTTACAGGAAGCCCACACATTTAAACAGATATTTGGACTTCCGTTCATCCAATTCTATGTCAGTAAAAATAGGATTGGCGAAATGTTTAAGTGATAGAGCAGAAAAACTAAGTAGTACCAAGGAAAATCTAAGACAGGAAGTGATATACATAAAAGAAGCCTTGAAACTTAATAATTACCCGGATGAATTTGTCAGGAAATATGTAAGGAAATGTAAAAATAAAATAAATAATGATAGTAGCGATAGTCACAATAATAATAATAATGATAACAATAATAATCATAATAATATTAATGACGACACCAACAATAAGGAATCTAAATCATCAGTAGTAATTCCATACAAGGAAGGAACTTCGGAAACCTTACGCAGAATTCTTAAAAATGCAGGAATAAAAGTGTCATTCAAACTGCACAGAAACTCAGTTAGAAACAAGCTTTGTCGGTTAAAGGATCAATCCTGTGGAACCTTTAAAACAAAACAATCTAGTTTATCTAATACCCTGCTGGAATGATTGTCAGGTCAAATACATGGGTGAAAGTAGTAGAACAGGGGCAGTCAGACTGGCCGAGCATAAAAACCTAACAGCGAAATCTAGATTAGTTGACCCGAATAAGATAAGAAATCTAGAGAATAGTTCAGCTATAGCACTCACTACATGCAATTACACACAACCATACAACAGGATGGGATGGGATAAGATGACAGTTTTAAAATCTAATGTGACAGGGTGGAGGGGGAGATTGATAACAGAAGCTTTGTTTATCGAATCAACTGTGAGCCAACACGTGTAATAGGAATGATTCAACACCTGTCCACTCAGACATCTGGAAAATTCTACTACCCCAACGACGACAAATAGGAGATGACAAAGAAAACTATAAAACTCAAGTATCGAAGTCGTGTGATTATAATTGATGATATGATTATGAACAATAATGGATTGTGTTCGAAACGGTGTCATCCAGTAAATAATAATACTGTTTCACTCACTGTGAGTGATACATCTAATAAACAAACTAATATCGATCTTTTATCTACATTATTTAACTTAGCATAGTTGATCATTCTAGGCCTAGCCAAATTCCCATATTCCCTATGGTCCATCGAGGAAGAGGGCAGGTGAATGATATTGTTCCACAGGATGACAGTAGGTATACTTCATGGGATTCTGGTCGTACAAGAGTCCGAGGTGGGTATGTTCGAATTCTCCTAAAAACTGATGTATTATGTAAATTATCGGAATACAGGAATGTAGCTGGAGATCTAAAATGATCAACCGTGCCGAGTTAAATAATTTGGAAAAAAGCTCGATCATTGCAACACATTCTCTTGCAGGCAATCACACAATAGAGTAGGATAGGTTAAACATTTTAACACGTATTATATAATTAGGCGGAAGGAGAGAGAGAGAGGTTAATCACTGAATCTTTGTTCATCCAGTCAACGCCAAACACGTGTGATTGAAATAACGCAACGTCTGTCCCAGATATATGGAAAATTGCAAAAGAAAAACCATTGCAGGCAGTAGGACTGGGAACGAGTCAACCAAAAACCTATTGTTCAGCAAATAGGTAGAAGAAAATAGAGATGGATTGGACACACTTTGAGGAGACCGCTGAATGACATCGCGTGCCATGTACAGCGTCGAGTGGATGCCGAATGACAAATGTGACGAGTTTTGCATCAATTCGCGGTTGACATGGAGAAGATCGTGAGAGGAGGAGATGAGAGATTATAGGCGATAGTGAAGCTAGCTAAAGATGACAGCAGAGAATAGGAAAAAGTGGTGATGTGCAGCTGAAGCCCTATGCTCCATTCGGAACCGAAGAGAACATTAATAATAAGAATGATAATAGTAATAGTATTCAAGTGTTGGTTTGTAAGGATTTGATTGGCTACAGGATTTTCATCATGAGCTAACATTAGTTAGAGAACCATTGGAAAACCAACCAGGGAGTACTGGACAGCTATTTCGTCCTAGTTTGGGACTCTTCAACAATGCGCACCCACCGGATTTCGAACCCAGGACCTTCTGGTTTTCAAGGCGAGCTCGTATACCATTAAGCCACTGGGACCCGATCCAATGGCCCATGAATTCTAACTTCTGCCAATCCACGACATAACGCGACCTCTAGCCAATGTCTTCGGCGAGTATTTGTCCTCACACCCGACCTGCTGCACCCTACTGGTCACGACTTCTCACTAGAACCCCAGGTAACTACATACCTGAATAGGGCAATATGGATACCACTTCTTTTTTGCAAAACAGTCCTAGTTTAGGGCGATTTATTATTTTTTTATTGTATTTCATTTGAAATGCTGCTTAGTCAAAGAAAACTCCATAAATTTTCATCATAGGACTTTTGAGCTTTCTTGCATCATCATCAGTTATCGCCTTCCTCTGTGAACAATTTTGAAAAAGAGTTATTGATGGTTAGATCAAAGCATGAGATCAATCCATAAAAATTTTGGACCATTGGTTTGAGTCAGTAGCCATGTAGGGAGGTGTGAACTGCCTCACTGGGGTCCTAGAGACTCTAAGAACCGATAGCTGAAGACCGCTGGCGATATGGCTTAAAAGCATTTCCACTCTTTGTGATCTGTTAGCTCCATCAAATCTACATTATTCTCCTTGTTTCCATTCTTTCTTCCACAAATAACTGTTTATTATTATTATTGTTCCCTTGGGTTCCTAGTGGAACATAGGGCTTCAACTGCACGTCTCCACTTGCTTCTGCCTTCTGTTGTACTTTTCACTTGCATCCATGTTAGTTCATGCTGTTTCAGCTCCTCTTCACACGATCTCTTCCATGTCACCCTTGGACGTCCCACTCACCGCTTCCCTTTCGGGTTCCACTCGAGCTATGGCCTGACGCGCGATGTCACCCAGCGGCCTCCTCAGCGAGTGTCCAATCCATCTCCCCTTTCTCCCGCATATTTGTTAAGCAATTGGTTCTTGTTTTGTTCATTCCCATAGTTTCTTGTTGGTGATTCTTTCCGGCCATCTGGTCTTTAGTATAGAACGAAGACAGTTGTCGATAAAGGTCTGCAAGCTGTTGGGAATATTCTTTGTGACCCGCCAAGTTTCTGATCCATCCGTATAGCAAAACTGACTTGACGTTTATATTGAAAATTCGAATTTTTTTGTTGATGCTGAGTGACGAAGATTTCCAGATTGGTTTCAGGTTGACGAATGTGTTTCTCGCCTTCCCGATTCTCGATTTGACATCCTCGTCCGTTCCTCGTGTATTTGAGACAATGCTCCCTAGATAGGTGAAAGAAGTAATCTCTTTCAAATCCCTCCCGTTGATGGTGATTGGCGCTGAATGTTGCTGCTGTTGTTGGTTGGTTATTTTCATAACCTCCATCTTGTCTATGTTCACCTGGAGTCCTGTCTTTGCTGCTTTTTCTACCAGTTTGTCGGTTTTCGCTTGAAAGTCTTCGATTTTGTGTGACATCAAACATAAATCATCCGCGAAATCTAGCTCTTTTAGGTTCTTCACGTCGGTCCAGGATATTCCTGTCTTCTCGTTTCCCACTGTCTGACACATAATCCAGTCCACCACAATTAGGAATATCATTGGTGATAATAAGCACCCTTGTCTGACTCCTGTGTTTACCCCAAACGTCTCGCTGAGTTTTCCGTTGTAGATCACTTCACATGTGCCGTTGTCGTACAGCTGTTGAATAAGGTTGATGAAAATTTGGGCTACTGTTTATTATAGTTCCTTCAAATTATCTTCTCTTCTACCTGTAACAGCAGCTTGAACTGCTGCACTTTTGGGCAAAGTTCGACGCTGAAATTTCAGTTACCTTTACTTGCAAACTCATATCAATCGACAACTCATATTTCCTACATTTCCTACAGCTATTATTGCTACTGTCTTAAACAGATCTCGAGACTATAGTTGTTGTTGTTGAGGATTTAGAAAAGCCCTTCCACAGTAGAAATGTGTCATCCGGAAACCGGAAAGAGATCGATTTCAACTGAAGTAAGTCAAGAATCTACAAAAAAATACGGTAACCCTACCAGTCAAAACGACTTTCATCACTCCAGGATTTCATTCGATTAGATTGCTCCGTGACGTTTATGTGTTGATTTAAAAAAAAGTGACCTTATGAGTGTCAACATTTTAACAAGAAAGAAATAGAAAGAAATGACGTAATTATGCCTCTTGTTGGCAAACTTTAAGAGGGGATATCAACAAGTGCGGTTCACTATACCTTCATGGAATAATAGACCATATTAGCGCATTAGGTCAAGTAACAAGTTATAAGTGCGTCCGTGGTTCAAAGATATAATATGTGATCTGGGTTCGATTCATTGGCCGACGTACTCATAAACCAAGAAAAGAGTGGAATTTCATCATGAGCTGACATCGGTTGGAGAACCATTGGAAAACCTGGGAGTACTGAACAGCTGCTTCGTCCAAGTTTGGGACTCTTCAGCGTTGCGCGCCCACCGGGTTTGAACCCAGGACCTTCTGGTTACAAGACGAGCTCGTATACCATTAAGCCACTGGGACACCGCTATGTGCATACTGATGAAGAGCCCTAAATTGGGACGAAACAGCTGTCCAGTACTCCCAAGTTTTCCAATGGTTCTCTAACCAATGTCAGCTCATGATGAAATCCTGTAATCAATCAGTCAAATCCCTACAAACCAGTACTTGAAAAGAGTGGAAGTCGGGTAAAAATCAACACTATCGCAACTGAATCTCCAGAGTTTCAAACCCTATGTTCCTCTGGGAACGCGAAGAAATGGAAAAATCATGTTATAAATATACATCCTCACTGAAATCATTGTAAAGTGAACCTAACAATAATATCAACTATGAAATAGAAATTTAGATTTACCGGTCCCCCCCCCCCCCTCAAAATAAGAAGAAAATAATATACTCAAACATCAACTTACAATTTGATCCTTCGTTGTCCTGATAATTGAGTAGAACACGATTAATTTGCTTTTGTGCAGTAATTGATTTTATGTAACTAACATTTGACAAGTACTGAGTAAGATTCTGTAGGTCAGCTTTGTCCAGATTAAAAACCTGAATATAAAAATTACAAATAAAAACATATTTCACAGAATAAAAAGTTCAGTATAGCAGCAAGCAGAGATAAGTTGTTACTAACCCTATATGTGTAAAACTTCGGCACTGTGGTAGTAAGTAATTCCATATTAGTTTGTTTATTAGATGTATCACACAGTGACTGAAACAATATTATTTACTGGATGACGTTTCGAACAAAATTTATTGTTCATAATCATGTTCTCAGTTATAATCACACGACTTCGAAACTTGAGTTTGATGGTTTTCTTTGTTTTCTCCTATTCATCGTCGTTGGGGTAGTAGAATTTTCCAGATGTCTGGGTGGACAGGTGTTGAATCATTCCTATTACACGTGTTGGTTTGCAGTTGATTCGATAAACAAAGCTTCTGTTATCAATCTCTCCCTCCACTCTGTTACATTAGATTTTAAAACTGTCATCTTATCCCATCCCATCCTATTGTATGGTTGTGTGTAATTGCATGTAGTGAGTGCTATAGCTGAACTATTCTCTAGATTTCTTATCTTATTCGGGTCAACTAATCTAGATTTCGCTAGGTTTTTATGCTCAACTAGTTTGACTGCCCCTGTTCTACTACTTTGACCTATGTATTTGACCTGACAATCATTCCAGCAGGGTATTAGATAAACTAGATTGTTTTGTTTTAAAGGTTCCACAGGATTGATCCTTTAACCGACAAAGCTTGTTTCTAACTGAGTTTCTGTGCAGTTTGAATGCCACTTTTATTCCTGCCTGCATTGTTAAGAATTCTGCGTAAGGTTTCTGAGGTTCCTTCTTTGTATGGAAGTACTACTGATGATTTAGATTCCTTGTTGTTGGTGTCATCATTATCTTTCGCATGTTTGACATGCATGTCATCATTAATATGATTATTATTATTATCAATATCACTACTATTGTGGTGAGTGCTACTTATAATCCGATATAAGTAGTATATCAGGAACGAAGTAACAACATGTTTGGCACACTGAAAAGAGCAATCAAAGAAGAGAACCATGAGAAGAATGTTGCCATATGATGCAGAATCCAAGAAGCTATCGAATGAGACGATATTCGACCAATTCGTCAAGGATGTGGTGAAGATGTGCAAATGGCCGGTTTAGAATATGGTATTCCAAATTTAGCTATGTACCATACGTTTCACCAAATAAACAATCCTTTCAGTCTCCTCAGTCTTGTCTTCTTCACATTTGGTGTCGCTACCTACCGACTAATGGAAAGCCTATGCCCTGCAGTTTTTGATGGAGACATATGGATCTTCGCGCAGGACTTCGAGGCTTCTTCGCAGTCGAGTGGCGTTCAAGATCTGTCAGCGATGAGGCTGCTACTTGGGACGCTGCTGGGAGGTCGGGAGAAAGCAGCATATGGAAGTGTGAGGCGAAATACCTACGAATGTGCGACAGGGTCAGGCAAACAGTTTCCAAAGTGGGAAGGACCATATATGGTCACGTTGAGATGGGGTTACGCAGACACAATCGCAATGGTAAACACCGTTAAACAAGTGGACATCCGCAAGCGCCGAGATTCCAGACAGCAAGACGACAGAGCAAAGTCCCAAGAACCGAGAAGACCGAGCCGACTTCAGTCCAAACTATTTGACGGGGGGACGAGTGTGGTGAGAGCTGTCTACTAGCCAAGTGGTGGACAGTAATTGAGGTCAATGTTTATGTATCAAATATTAGTCATGTTGTGGGGAAAGATGGTTGCTGGCCAAATTGGTTGACAGTAATTGAGGTCAAAGGTCAAGGTGGGCAGGCGGTTACAGTTAACATATAGATGAACTGACACAGCCACAAGAGATGCAAGGTTAACTTTGTGTGAGAAACAACCAATCAACAGACTGTATTTTCTACTAACATTGACCTACAATAATGTACATAAAAATCTATAAATACGTGTTGATTTTTCGTAATAAACGATCTGTTGCCTGGCCCTTGTCTTCTGTTGTTACACTATCATTATTTAATTTATTTTTATTTTTACATTTCCTTACATACTTTCTGACTAATATATCAGGGTAATTATTAAGTTTTAAAGCTTCTCTTATATGCCTCACTTCGTGTCTTAGATTTTTCCTAATAACACTTAGTTTTTGTGCTCTATTACTTAAACATTTCATCAATCCTATTTGTACTGACATAGGATCGGATGATAGGAAGTCCAAATATCTGTTTGAATGTGTGGGTTTCCTGTAAACACCAGAGTTTAACTTCCCATCTTGATATAAGATCACATAATGACAACACCAACAACAAGGAATCTAAATCATCAGTAGTACTTCCATACAAAGAAGGAACCTCGGAAACCTTACGCAGAATTCTTAACAATGCAGGCAGGAATAAAAGTGGCATTCAAACTGCACAGAAACTCAGTTAGAAACAAGCTTTGTCGGTTAAAGGATCAATCCTGTGGAGCCTTTAAAACAAAACAATCTAGTTTATCTAATACCCTGCTGGAATGATTGTCAGGTCAAATACATGGGTGAAAGTAGTAGAACAGAGGCAGTCAGACTAGCCGAGCATAAAAACCTAACAAAATCTAGATTAGTTGACCCGAATAAGACTTACTTACTTTACTTCGGCTATCTCCTACGGAAGGATGAGCCGGCTTCATAAACATCTCGAATCATCGCTGCTCAGGCGCGGCGATCTGATGGAGAGAGTTCATGAAGTTTCATGGGAATTTGGTACGAGTGATGTCCCCAGAATCGCTCGGCCTTTTGTCTGAGAGTGCAGCTCTAGCCTTTACACAACCAAGTGTGACCTACAAGGCAGTAGGAGTGGAGTAGGGAGTCCACTATCCATTGGCAGCCGGTGACCGGAGTTCGGTTCATACGCCTTTTTGAATGGGGCCAGACATCCAGGAAATCCAACAAGCCCTTTGTCCATACGTCTGCCGGTGAGCTCCAGTGAGCTTCATACGCCAGTCGTTGGAGATTTGGAATCAGGGTTTAGCCATCTCCCCTAGACTGTCATCCAATAGACAGTCAACCCGATGAAGAGCGCCGGGCATTCGCTTTCGCCCTCTCACTTTGGTGAAAAACACCTCCGCCACGTGACCCGAATAAGATAAGAAATCTAGAGAATAGTTCAGCTATAGCACTCACTACATGCAATTACGCACAACCATACAACAGAATGGTGGGATAAGATGACAGTTTTAAAATCTAATGTAACAGGGTGGAGGGGGAGATTGATAACTGACTGAATAGTGTCTTTGGGCTGTAAGCAGCTGAGCTGATGAGAAGCCGACGAAATAAACAATGATGGTACTATTTTATTCTGCAAAAACCACTGCTGTTCTTGCTTTATTCAAATTCATATTAAGGAGAATAAATGTATAAAATCAAATTTCTTTGAATCAATCAACATTTTCTACATCACAACTAAAATTTTATACATTAGCACCGAAAGGAGATGACAGTTAACATGAAGGTAAGTAGGATAGGCATCAAAAACACATGGCTGTCAAGATTTTAGGGTGCATAAAGTGATGCAATGCACTCTGAATCCGTTTAAAAGTCATGCTGATTTAGGAATTCAAGCAAATCATTAATTTTGGAAGAGAGATTTAATAATTAGGACTTTATAGGTAGTCACTTAAATTAGACAAACTATCAATTTCAGTAATAATTACTTAATGCAACCTGATAACCCATAATTTTACACAACTTCTTATGACACTACCAAGCTTCCAAAAGCATTGTAAACAAAGCAAGCGGTCCAGTTCTGTGGTTTAAATTAAAAGAGATTTGACGACTAGATAACACTATGGGTAAATTTTGTTTTGATAAAGTCTCACAGTGTTATACAGTAATGTTTACTGATGACGTTTCGAGCACAATTTATTGCTCATAATCATATCAAGGTAATCACACGACTTCCTAAATTCATTTATATAGTTCCGTTGTTCTTCACTTGATTTGATTGGTAGTAATATTTTCCATATTTCGGGTATGAGTGATGAATCATTCCTATTGCATGTCTTGGGTGTAGATTCGATGAACAAGGATTCAGTAATCAACCTCTCTCTCCACCTACCTAGATTACTTTTTAGAATTTAAACCCTCTCCTACCCTATTGTGTGGTTATATGCCAATGCATGCACTGCAATTGCTGAGCATTTTTCTAAATTACTTATCTTCTCGGGATCAACCATTCTTACCTTAGCTAAATTCTTATGTTCTGACAATCTGACTACCCCTGACCTACTAGTTTGACCTATGTAGGTGACCTCACAGTCATTGCAGGGTATTTTGTAAATTATATTATTTTGTCTAATTGGGTCCACTGGGTCCTTTAACCTACAGAGCTTGTCCTTGAGTGAGTTTGTAGGTTTAAATGCCACCCTAATTCCTGCTTTATTTAGAATCTTACGTAGGGTCTCAGATGTCCCCTCTTTATATGGTATAACTGTAGATGACTTATATTCTCTCTTATTTATGTTATTATTACTAGTTTCACAATTCTTTTTATTTTTCTTTGGGCCTTTTTCAATCTTCCTAATGAATTTTAAAGGATAGTTATTTAACACCAACGCCTCTTCTATCTGTTTTATTTCATCATTTAGGTATTTTTTTTGTGCTACTTAGTGCCATTGCTCGGTTTGTTAAACACTTAACTAAGCCTGCCTTAACAGTTAAAGGATGAGATGAATTAAAGTCTAAATATGTATTAGCAGAATGCGTTGGTTTTTTATTAACACTAGTGTGCAGTTTACCTCCTTTTTTTCGTTTTATTTTACAATCTAACATCATAGCTAATTCTCCTTGCTCATTGTGTCAAGAAGCTAGAGATATGTTCTGTTTTTAACACTGTGAAAGTGTCATCCACATATATCACCAGCACATTTTTGGAGTGGGATTAAACGTATTAAGAGCCATATTTTCCCAGCTATCCATAAATATATCTGCTACGATAGGGGATATTGGTGATCCCATTACTACACCTTCGGTTTGTCTATATATTTTGCCTTGGCATTTAAAGATAGAAGATGTGAGGTACAACTGAATTCCTAAAATAATTTCATGAACGGGTAGTTTCGTCCTATGAGTTCAGGGTCTGTTCATCGAATCTACACCCAACACATGCAATAGGAATGATCCACACCATAGGGTGGGAGAGGGTTTAAATTCTAAAAAGTAATCTAGGTAGATGGAGAGAGAGGTTGATTACTGAATCCTTGTTCATCGAATCTACACCCAACACATGCAATAGGAATGATCCACACCATAGGATGGGAGAGGGTTTAAATTCTAAAAAGTAATCTAGGTAGATGGAGAGAGAGGTTGATTACTGAATCCTTGTTCATCGAATCTACACCCAACACATGCAATAGGAATGAATCATCACTCATACCCGAAATATGGAAAATATTACTACCAATCAAATCAAGTGAAAATCAAGTGAAAAACAATGAAACTATATAAATGAATTTAGGAAGTCGTGTGATTACCTTGATATGATTATGAGCAATAAATTGTGCTCGAAACGTCATCAGTAAATATTACTGTATAACAACACTGTGAGACTTTATCAAAACAAAATTTACCCATAATGGAATTAAACTCTACGACAGTGCACAAGTTTCATTCTTATATCAATGACTAGATAATACGTTTTCATCTAATCACCTATAGCTTTATTCCACTCTAGTCCTATAACAAATCAAAGGAAGCTACATTTAGGCTAGCACAAAAACATCCCGTGTGTCGGTGGCACAGAGGCAGGATGCTCGCCAACCACGTCACGCCGGTTGTTTCGGGGTTCGACTTCCGGCCGACGCACTCCTCCTTTACCTCGCTAAGCCAGTAATAAGACTGGCAAAGAGGAAAGGTTGGGCATGAGGCTAGCAACCGCATCCCGTGAAAAATAAATGCGCCTGATACTGAAACTTCAGGCCTCTAGCTTGAAGCCTTATGTTCCACTGGGGACGTAAAGGAATAATAAATAAATCCCAATCACCTCTAAGTACATTGGAAACCTGCAACCTAATCGAGCGAATTAATTATATTGTCTAAAAATCTAAAATAGAGGTTGGTGGACTGATACATATTTTCTTCAACTACTACAACATACTCAGTAAAAAGAAACTACATCAAAATTCAGCTAGAACTAACCACCCCGTCCATTAAAGACCTGATACGGCCGCGTGTGAGTAGACTTCAGTCTTCTTTCAAAATGGCTACAAGTGGCCATGAGTTCATAACCATTGACAGACAAATCCTATTCATCAAGGCGGAGGTTTCCGTCACAAACTGAAGGGGTGGATACCAACGTCCGGTGTTTACATACAGGTCTACCCTAGGGGACCTGGGGGACCCTGATTCTAAAACTATGGTGCACACAGGCTCCAGAATCTGAAAGGATCCAATAGTGTATGAGCCCGTTATGGTCATCGGAAACCATGGAGACGTAGCTCTTGACTTCAAGTCAAAGACTCTGGAGGAGTAACCCCTTAAGACAAACACTCACTTCAGTCTGGACTTCCAGCCCTCGCATAAACTATTACACTTTGTGTAGTGTAGCTCTTGGTACCCATAAAGTACCAAGTTTATGCTTTAATAATAATAATAATGCAACTAGAATTTTTCAAGTATTGGTTTGGATTTGTTTAATTGCATGGAGGATTTCATCATGAGCTGACATCAGTTATGAAGTTCTAGTGGGAAGCCGTGACCAGTAGCGTACAGCAGGTTGAAGATGAGGAAGTAACTCATCTAAGAAGACATTGCGAAATGGTCGCGCTATGCCGTGAATTGGCAGAAGTTAGAATTCAAGGACCATTGGATAGGGTCCCAGTGGCTCAATGGTCTACGAGCTCGCCTTGTAACCAGAAGGTCCTGGGTTCGAATCCCGGTGGGCGCGTACTGATGAAGAGTCCTAAACTAGGACGAAACGGCTGTCCAGTACTCCCAGGTTTCCCAGTGGTTCTCTAACTGATGTCAGCTCATGATGAAATCCTCCATGCAAAAACTAGAATTATCCAAAACTGTACTAGCACACTCAATAAGTTATGCACCATTGTAAAAAAATCCAAATCGTGATGAATTAAAGCAAGATAATGCAACATTTAAAGAGAATCAATTACCTTGATTACATCAAAATCGCTTATTTTCTCCTCTTCATTAAACTTTGGATACCATCTGTTCAATATAGTATAATTTATATTCAGTGGGTTCAATAAAGTTGTCAAAAACTGATGACGTGATTGTAAAGGATGGTACTGACGATAACTGATGATAAATTCTATAATACAAGCAACAAAAGAAAAAATATACAAGTAAACAGAATAACTGACTGAATTTCAGCGTAGAACTTTGAACAGAAGTATGCCAGTTCAAGTGTGTTACCACACACTCCATATAGCATGCAAAGGTATACAAAACAGAGAATAGAGTTTTCAAAGCACTATAATGAATAGAAATGGAAAAAACATGACGGTCTATTCGATCTAGGAGTTTGAAAAAAAATAGTGAATGCATCTGGCGGCTTGCTTAAAACTTAGGCTACTAAAGCACTTCCATCTCTCTGTTACATATATTTTGTCTCCTTCGGTTTGTTTGTTTGTTTGTTTTAATCGACCAAGATATGACCTCTGATGGTATTACCTGTTTCAAAAGTTCCTACTAAACTTGAGGAATGATGGCCTGATTGTGGGTGGCAACATGTTCTAATACAACATGAGATAACTGTCTCAAAATGTACTTCTGAACATCTTACAATTGGCTTTCAACTAGGTCAATATCGTGGATTTCTTGAAAGAAAGAGACAAAGCAGATATATCACTTAATGGAATGGTTTGTGCTTCAGCTTAGAGACCATTGTGTCACAGGATATACTTCCGTTAATTAATATTTTACTTGAAGCTGTCTGGCTGGATTCAACATAGAACTTGGCACCAAGTGCAGCAGTTCGAGTTGCCACGTTCCAAAGAGCAGACAAAGATAGACAAGAAGATGAGTAAAGAGAATCAATAGAGCTTTGACAAGTATAAGAGTGAAACAGAATGAGTAATGGTAGAAAGGAATATGAAAGATTACAGAGACTGAATACATCTGCGCCATTGACAACGATTTTGAGCCATGTCACCTATTGTCTCCAGCCAGTGATTCTTAGAGTCCCGAGGGCGGGCCCCAACCCAGAAGTCTGCATCTCCCTACCTGACTTAGTTTAACTGTCAGGGATTTCATGGATTGATGAGGCCATGTTTTTGTTTGGCCACCACTTGCTCTTTTCCAACCTGCACCTATATCAGCTAGTAATGCCCGTCCGTCGGGGGAGGCGATGGCTAGGCATGCGCAGCACGTGACCTAGCCATCTCAATCTATGTAACTTGATAGCCTTTCCGATTGATTTTCCCTCTTTGCCCAACACTCTACGCCTAACGTCAACATTGCTTACCTTACTATACCACCTAACGCGAGAAAGAGATCGTAAACATCTGTGGTCAAAAACAGTCGACCTTTTCATGTCTTCCGCTCTCAATGGCCACGTCTCACCACCATAGAGAAGGACGGAGCGAACTGCTGAGCAGTACACACGTCCCTTGGTTGATGTAGGGTACCTAACCTGTCATATGTTCTGATGGTGTTCTCGTGACTTTTGTTGCCACATCATTAATAGTCTCGAGAAATTGGTTTGTCACCATTCCGAGAACTCTGATCAGACAGTCTACACCTCCTTACAAACCAATTGTCAAAGACTTGATGTATTTATGCCAGGCATTGGTTTGACCACAACTAATTCTTCCCCAATCCAATCCCATGTCAACTAATATTGCTTGTCGAGGAAGTTGGCGGTTTTACATGCGTAACATGTATTTTAAGTATCTCAACTGATCTAAGGGGATACTTAAACTAAGCAATCTACACACTAAGCCTTAAAATGAATTTTACAGCATAAGTTAACTGGTGGATGGTGACTAGCAGTGGGATCCAGGATGCGCATTTCGTCCTATTTGGGACTCGTCTGCCAGCTGGATGTACCTGCATTCCCCAGTGAGATGATGTCCCCACCGAGGCTCGAACTCAGTGCCCATAGTTTCAAACGCCAAAGTGTTATCCACTAGACCACTTGGGCCACGATAGCCACCTCTTGTGCAACGGGTCATATTAATTATTGAATTGAATTTTAGATTCTCCCGTCGATTGATTGAACCGAAGTGCTCGCTCTCAGCTTTTCAAAATGGACATCGTCATCAAACAAAAATATGCCAAAAGCAATAGACATACAAGAGTTATTTTGCTTTATCTCGGGACTCTTCAACACTGCGTTGCGTCTACAGTGTCAGTTGAAATGGGTTCCAAAACTTTTCATTATTTAGTCATTACTTCCATTTGTATGAGTTCATATGAATTCCTGATAACATTTTAGCGAATAGTTCTTAAGATATCTATTTCACATGTTTGAATGTTCTCATCAGATTAGGAATTCACTTTCTTAGGCACATAATAAGTCTACTATGCCATGTTAAAATCTAATAAATCCGAAACTAAGTGCAGAATCCCTAACAAACTGGGAGTTTGGATGAGATTTCTACATAGAGAAGTCACTTATAGTCAATATTCTCAGGTTTAAAGATTCTACTGACGTGATTAGACAAAATAGTCCACAAAAAATACTTATGGACGAGGCTAACCGTCTGCAGATCTTGGCGATTACGACAAATTTAGAATGGTAGGCTTCAATAACATGAGCAACTTTGATGGAACTCATCAATAACTATACACGCACTGGCACACAATCACAGAATACAGTCGAAAGATAATACAGTTATGTGGAGGCAGAGGTTGATAAATGAAGTTTTATACAACGAATCAACACCTCACGCGTGTAGTAGGTATAACATAAAATTAAATCAAAGATACTGGTAGTATTAGTAACATTATAACCAAGAGACGAGAAGTAATAATTAAAAATATAAGTGTCTCAATGCAACCACAAGCAATGAGTTGTGCTAAATAAGTCATGAATAAATTAGTCTGCGTCCCAACGCATTATATCAAACATATTATTTAATTATGCAGTCCACGATAGTGTTAAAGCCCAGGTTTACACGTGGATTTCCCCAGTTCCCTAGCCAATATCTCTATATGAAAAACCTGACTTGAAATCAGATTCGGCATAAACTCAATGACAGCTTATGAACATAAGCCAAATAGAGTTTCTGACCGTCGAAACTTAATAATAACCGAAACAAGGATTTCTGCTCAAGAAAATGTTAAAATGCTAAAATATTTCTCTGTATAGATAAAACTGTGCATCGGTGGAGCAGGAATAGAATCTTTGCCACCCACTTATATGCTTCGGGGCGAGAAATATCAACCGGCGGAGCCAACCAAGTTCAACGTGAGGACAAATATTCGCTGACGACGTTGGCTGGCGGTTGTGCCATACATCATGAATCGGAAGGAGTTAGAATTTATGATCTATTAGATTTCGTCTCATGGGACTGAATGGTGTACGAGCTCGCCTTGCAACCCGAAGAACCTGGATTCAGTCCCTGGTTGGGTCATCGGTGAGTCCTGATGAGGGTTTCCAAACAAGGATGAAACAGCCGTTCAATAATTCCTGGTTTCAAAACGTTCTCTAACTGAAGTCGGTTCGTTATCGGCGTTGGAACCCTTAGGAACTCCGGAACGCAAAAAGAAACAAGTCAACGTTGCCAATGAAACACGTTGAAAGACGACAAACTGATTATTATTTAACTGACCACGCGAACTTTGAAAAGGGAGTGAATTTTACACGCTCTTGTTTAGTTTTGGCTTTTGTTGTGTTATACGCTCCAAAAGTCTACAGATTAACTTTAAATCAGTTTATTCTGATCAAAGTTAGTTTACTTTTCAGATCTGAGTCTATTTAAATTATAGGAAATTGTTTGTTTTATAACATAATAGTTATATATATATTTTTGTGCACTCATTGATTTTTATCGCTGATTTATAAAGGTCTATATACATCTAAGTTATATTTAAATTTCTTCGCCAGTCCGTTCTAGACAGTATGCCCATCAAAAAAAACCGCTGCGGAAGGGTTATGTGCCAATTCCCAGTGGATGAGGGAATGCAGTGTGATAACTGCAAGAGATGGTTTCACAGTATGTGCACAAACCTAACTCCTGCAGCATACAAACGCTGCTGCAAACCTCTAGCAAACTGGTTGTGCAATGACTGTTGTAGTACTACCAAACTCCGTATTACAGAAGCCATTGCCACTCTTAGCGGGGCTTTAAAGCTCATGGACTGCAAGGGTCTTCCATCACAGGAGAAGACTGACTACTTCTCAGACACCGAAGATGCGACTAGCGTCATCGACAAAACAGTACATGTTCCTAATGAGTCTTTGTCAATGACTGAGTGCCCTTCAGCACAGAAGAGCACTCACCACATTCCAGACACCCAGGCTGCCCCCACGATACTGGATAAGCCCTCCAGTGACAGTAACGGAAAGACTGCCACAAAGAAGAGGCGTACCAGGGGTCGTAAACCTGCAACTCAAGTCACCCAGGTACTAGTGGATCAAGCCTCATCCACACCGGTGAGTAGCAGGCAGATAAATCCTGCTACGATTAGTGAGGAGAACGCCAATGAATGGCGTAACGTAGTCTCTCGCAAAAAGCGAGATAAGGACAATACATTGGCCACACTGCCCACGAAGGACAGAAAGACATTCACGCCGCAGAGCAAGAAAGCCACGGCAAGCAAACCTGATCTCTCTGACAGGTCGCTCATTCTCCACAAAGTGGAAGAGTCACTGGCCCCCGATCCCAAGACTAGATTTGAGCATGACCTTAACTTGGTTAAGCCCCTTTTAGACAAGCTACTGCCACAAACAGTATCAGGCATTACTATACATAGCGTATATAGAATAGGCCAAAAGCCTGACCCTACAGTAAGTCAGCCTGTACGTCTCCTCAAAGTCGTACTAAACTCTAAAGAAGAGAGGGATGCTATTCTAAGCAACTCTCATATTCTTAAAGGATCAGGCATATATGTCCGCGCCGACTTAAGCCTGGCAGACCGTGTCAAAAGACAGTCTGCGGCCCTAGAATTAAGCGAACGACGCCGAAACGGCGAAAAGAACCTTAAGATTAAGGGTTTTCGGGTTGTCCAAGTTCGCAGTTTAATGATCCCGAAACCTCTGTGGGTAGGCCGGGGAAGCACCAAACTGAATTAACAGTTTGCTACACAAACGCCCGCAGCCTGTTAAATAAACGGACTGAGCTGGTTAACATGATAGACTCCGGAAACCCGGATGTAATTATTATCACAGAGACATGGCTCACACCCGATGTCACTGACAACGAAGTTAACCTGCCAAACTTCGAAGTGCATAGGGTGGACCGACTAAACCGCAAAGGAGGTGGCGTAGTCATCTACCTCAAGAAATGCTTAACCGTGCGTAGTATCGAAGCACTCGCTCACGAAAGTGAGTCGTGCGAACTTCTACGCTGCAGACTTAAATGCATAGGCCAAGACATTGACCTCATTGCTATGTACCGCAGTCCTGACTGCAGTGCAGATGACTTCCTGATAGAGAAGCTAGGCTCCTGGACCTCGAAATGTCGAAGTCTCGTAGTTGGCGACTTCAATGCCCCAACAGTTGACTGGACGAGCCTAACAACTCCATCCTCAGTCAACTCCTTTGATTATAAACTGCTGGAATCTAGTATATCGTTAGCTCTAGTCCAACATATCATTAAGCCCACGCGCTATGACTCACAGCACTCCTCCTCAACTCTGGACCTAGTGTTCTCCCATGGTGAGGATGTGGATCTCATACAACATCTTCCTCCTTTAGGAAGAAGTGACCATGCTGTGCTCACTTTCAAGTTCACAGCAACGGCAGCAAGGGCCAAAACCCCATCTCGACCAAACGTTTGGAAAGCTGATATAAATGCAATCGTCTCAGCAGCCAACTCAGTAAACTGGTACATCAACCCAGAGTCTCAAGTAGAAGCCGCATGGAACCAATTTAAACAACTTTACGCCCAAGTAACTGAACCTTTCATCCCTTGGTCTGTCCCAAAGGGTCGGAAACACTGCCCTCCTTGGATAAACCGAGAGATTCGTAAGTTACTCAGACGTAAACACAAATGTTGGAACTTGTTTGCCACACTTGAGACTTCTGAGACCAGGCAATTATATAACACTGCTAGAAATAAAGCTATTGCAGAAATCCGCCAATCAAGGATGAAATTCGAAGCACACCTGGCTCAAAATGCAAAGGCACAACCTAAGAAAATTTTCTCGTACATGAACTTCAGGAATAAAACATCCAATGGTGTCCCAAACCTGACTATTGACAATGATACAATCGAAGAAGATCAAGAAAAAGCAGAAGCAATGGCAAACTACTTCTCCCAAGTCTTCACTCAGGAGTCGTCACTGCCTATAGGATCAGCTCTGGCTGCATCAGAAGAACATGGGATAGATTCCGTTGACATCGACCAAGGCATCGTGCTCAACTGCCTAAGGAAACTAGATGCAGGGAAATCAATGGGTCCTGATAATCTTCATCCAAGGCTTCTCAAGGAGCTATCAGCCCACATAGCCGGCCCTTTGACTACGATCTTCAAGCTTTCTCTCCTAAATGGAGTGTTACCGCGTGACTGGAAAGACGCCATAGTAACCCCCATCCACAAAGGAGGATCAAGACAAAGCCCTTCAAATTACAGGCCTATCAGTCTCACCAGCACTTTAATTAAGACACTGGAAAGAATCATCAAGAAAAGCATAATGGCATATCTAGAAAATAGAAGCTTATTATCAAGAGCACAGCATGGCTTCCGAAGGAACCTCTCATGCCTGTCAAATCTTCTCACTGCAAGAGAAAGCTGGGTCAAATCCAGGGACAACAGAAGACCCGTTGACGTCGTCTTCATAGACTTCAGCAAAGCCTTTGATAAAGTACCTCACAAAAGACTACTCATGAAGTTGGAAAGTCTTGGTATCAAAGGCAGCTTACTAAACTGGCTCAGGGAATTCCTCATAGATAGGAGGCAGAGGGTTAGGATCAACTCGAAACTCTCCTCTTGGACAGCAGTACGCAGCGGAGTGCCACAAGGCACGGTACTCGGACCTCTCCTATTTATTTTGTATATCAATGAGTTATCTCTGCTCACCGACTCCCCTATGGTCCTATACGCAGATGACTTAAAAATTTGGAGAGAGCTGAAGGGCAACAGTGACACGTCCACGTTGCAAGAGGACCTCAACAAATTGTCAGAGTGGTCCATAGAATGGATGCTCCCGATAAATGTGGCAAAATGTGCAACCATGCGCATTGGACAAGCAAGCACGAGCTCTTATGAACTAGAGGGAATTACACTTCCATCAGTTCAGACTCACTTGGACTTAGGTGTCATAGTTAGCCACGACTTAAAAACTACAGCACACTGTCGCGCGGTGGCTGCACGTAGTTTCAGGTCATTATGGGCAATTCGTAGAGCCTTCACTAGAATCACCAGAGATATGTTCACCTCCTTATATACATCTCTGGTGAGGTCAAGACTGGAAAACTGCATCCAGGCCGCCAGCCCTTGTCTAAAAGGGGACTCACTTATTCTAGAAAGGGTTCAAAGGAAAGCAACACGTATGATTCATGGCATGACTAACTTATCATACGAGGAAAGACTAGACAGTTTAAATCTCTTCTCCTTGTCATACCGTAGGCAGAGAGGAGATTTAATCACAATGTTTAAAATTTTAAATAATGACTACGGACCTGACCTATTTTCTCTTTTCCTTCCCACCAGGTCGGAACACCTTAGAGGACATAGCAGGAGAGTTCAAAAGCCAAGAAGAAATCATATTGCTGTTGAGTACTGGTTCTCACACCGAGTCATAAACTCTTGGAACCGACTCCCAGAAGAAGTGGTGTCTGCAACCTCAGCTGATTCGTTCAAGAAGGGTTTGGACAACCACAGAAATTTACTAGAAAAGGATTAACATAGGCTCCAAGCCTTCTATCCTCAACCAATAAATCTGAAATCCCTTAGCTTTACCAAGACTGATAATCGAACATAACGATTAAACTAGTAACTTGAAAATATTACCATCTTTCAAAGTGTCATTCTGCTTTCAACTTGGTCTCCCAACCATGAGAATTTTTACAATCTCAATACCACGAAAAGAATGACTAGGGAAATAGGGGGAAACTTATATATATATATATATATATATATATAGACTTACCATCTTCCACAATTTTCAATTCATATATGTATGAAGGCGTCGTCGATGTAGAACAAAATCCAAATAAAGAAAATATAAGCAGACTGAACAATAGATCCATTGTTAAGTAACCAAATGGATAAAATTCTTCCCTCTACCAGTATAAGTGACCATTTGTATTGTGAATGCTACAACTAAAAAAGTTAGGGATAATGTTGACAATATTTGGTATGTTACCGCATGATATTATACACATATTTAAATACCACGATAAAAAATGAATGGGCGTAACAGTGGAATTTAATTAATGAATTAAATTATTACAGAAATAGCCCCAGAAGGTTTTATGCACAGAACAACTAAGTGACTTTGTGCCTATTGATATATTACCGAATGAACCTCACTTGTCACATAACAGCTAACAATTTGACTTGCTCGAAGTCTGCGCCAAACATTCTGCAGTGCGGCTAAAGTCAATGCTAGCTGGGACACCCGGAAGAAAAGAATGGGTTTATTCCTAGAAAAGTGTCTGACAGTCAGGTTTCGCACAACACACCTGTAAGGAATGTGTGCAGGAGAATCACATTCATTGCGATACCATAACCAAAAGCATACGAACATTTACTGAGCAAAAGTAAATAGTGAGCATGTGGAAATAAATGAAAATCTAATCCGATGATATAAATAGTATACATTGTAATGCAATTATAAGCTGGGATGTAGCTTATACAGCTCTTAAGTGCTTTGAAGTTGCCAAGTAAAGTTCTCTTAACTAAAGCCTTGCATTTCACTGGTAAATGCCATAAAATAAGAACGCATATGACAAATGCACTGGAAAATTTTCAAATTATTACTGCCTAATAGAAAAGTTTAGTCCACTATGTATCCTAAGTCTCCCCAAATTTTCCGAAAATCCCGATTTACTATAAGCCAAATAAAAAAATTTATAAGCTTTCTCAAGTATAATAATTCCATTTAAGTTAATAAATTTATAAAATTCGTCCAGTTCAGTATGTATACAGGATGTCAACTCACTTTAACACAGCGATTGAAACACTTATTTACAAAATTTAAACGAGGGAACTAAGACAGTTAACTAATTAAAGCTGCAGATGCACAGATTTGAAGGTGTTAACAAATACATCCACATAACCAGAGTAACGTACTATTTTGAACTAAACTTCAAGGTCAGGCATATCCAATATTGCTCTCACGAGCTGGTGTAAACCAATTTGATTTCTTTGAGCTCGCTTCTTGATTGTGAGGTAAGGGTTCCTGGTCTACGGGAAACTTCTGCATAGTTCGTCCAGCCACTCGACTGGTGTGGCTTTGGTTGACTCCAAAAGGAGTATGTTGGGATTAATTACATGTAGTTTGTCGTATACGGCGTGTTAATACCGTGTCGCTCCTGTGAATGGAGTTTATCCTTTTACCACTTAATCATTCAGTGTCTTCGACAGAAGAAAAGATATAATAATGACAGATATAATAAATGTAGCTTATGTAGACTAAAGGAAAGAAAAAGAAATAAAATGTTAAAATTGATATATATATATATATACATATTTATATAAAACGCTTCGCAGAATTCTGTGCCTTCAGTGATTTGGCAATTGGAGGTAGCGTGTACAAGTACAAAGATAAACACAGTGACATGAATTTCACTTGACGATCCCACTAAAAATCAGACGGATTTCACCTCGGAGAGGCAGCCCCCTGAAAACTAAATTGAGAAGAGGAGCAAGTGCGGGCAAGGAACCTTCCACGGTGAAATCGAAAGCCGTCAGAACAACTGCAGGTAAATCGTAACTCACGCGAAAAGCTTAGAATCTGAGGAACGAGACTACGAAAACACCTTCACTGCAACTGTCACTTCAAACTTGTAGACATTACGTTGCACTGTTGAAGAAACATTGGAACTCTATGAAAGTTATGTTTAAGGAAGTGTCTATGGCCGCTTTAGGAAGAGAGAAGAGGCGAGACAATGGATGGCTGTTTACGGACACCTAGAAGCTAATGGAGGAGATTGGGATTGTGAAACAGAAGATGAACCAGTTCATTAGTGGACAATAGCAGGAGAGGCAGAGTTCAGTGTACAATGCACCGAATAAAGAAGTGAGGGGAGGGTGCTGAAAAAAAACAATTCTGAAACACTGGCGACGGAAGCAGAACTGGCCAAAGTCTATGGAGAAATCAGAACAGTGGGTCATATAACCAGGTTTCTATCGGTGGAAGAGATATGTACAGATGAAACTGATTAATGATAGTGCGATAGTTGAACTACCAAAACTCTTCCCAGGGAAATTTTCGGGATGATGAAATATCATACCACCAGTTCTGCATGCTGACGATGTAAGTACGTTGCTTGAGCATTCATTTTGCAGACATCAACTACTGATGGATTGGAAGAGGGTCACCTGATCTTCTATTGTTAATGTTGGGGGTTCGACAAAATCATAACTGTTGTATACGTGTAACTCCATTATCAACGACGTCAAAGATGGTTAAAGGCCAGCTTGATGACGACATTATAGTGTATTTTAGTAAGAACAACATTCCGCACGAAGCTTGACATGGTTTCAGGAGAGATCGATTCTCTAGTACCAGAGTGGAACTTGAGGATACTCCTGGAGGGGGGAATATGAGCAGGAGTGAGCTATGTGGAGGGTTCGGCCAAAGTTATCACAGCCCCCAATTGCATGCGCAGGTTGCTAGGCGTATTTAAACCCGAACCCTTCGTTCACCCATATGACACAGATATAATCATTCTCAGAAGTACATAACATCACTTTGTTACCAATTCTGGCAATAGGCCGAGTTTTCTTCGATAAAGTACAAAAGAGGATAACAAAAACGTCTCCAGATTGCAGTGGAGATAGTATAATAACTGACTGCGAAAGACTCATATGTCTACTCTCAGATTACGCAAACTGAGGAGGGGTTATACACGTCGTACAAAACGGTGCATGTCCTGATATAACCACGGCAGAACTGTTTATCTCAGGGCAATGCAAACTTTGGATTTGATTTCCTTTCTTTTAAGGCTTGTCACTCATGGAGTTCACCGCCCCCAGAGGCAGCCAACCCTAATCAGTTAAAAGTTCTAAGATTAGGGCGGAACCTCATTCAAGATCCAAAGTTTCGCGCTAATTCACATAAGCAGCCCGTTTCTAGAAGGCTACACGAGTATCAAAAGTTGTCACCTATATTTTCCAAATTCACCGTTCTTTTTCAGATTTGTTTTCCATCACAGTCCCTGACCGTTTGGTTCTCTTTTCCTTTTCTGTTCTTCTATTTTCCTTCATTGTAATTTCACTTCCATAGTCTTACCTGCTATATACACAGTCCTCCTGATTTGCCTTACATTTGTTTTGTCCACTCATTCTATTTCCATTCGCTTAGCACCACTTTCTCTAGAAGGTCTACCGATCAAACAAAAGGACTGGCAGACGAAGCGAAGCCTGCACATCCCTGCAGCATCAATGGCCCTTTTAAAAACCGTACATTCCTATTGTTGGGTCCGCTATATCAGTGACAGTCGACTGCATTGATTGTATTGGGGGTAGGCACATATTTAGATTTGTTAAGAGACAATGAGACGCGAGGACCCATAAACCATTAAGTTTTTACAGGCTCATCAAAAAATGTTGAATATTGGACAGAAAGGATGTTGATTCAAATGTTTGCTCATGTGATCGGCATGAAGCCCTCCATGAAGTTCCGGATTGCTGGCAAAAGTTCTGTTGCTCTGCATTGCGTAGGGTTCCTACTATCCTACTATTTGAAAGAAGACAGAATGGTATACTTCCTTCATCAGCTGCTGCATGCCTATGGTCGCTGGTGGGGACTTCTGGGACTCATAACTAATATTCAGTGGCATTTTCCGTGAGCAATATGCCTAAACGGTTAGAGTGTAGTCCCAAGGTAATGTTTCCCTCGAACATACACCATTCCACTGAACCTTCATTCTTCACTGTTTCTTTGTAGCTATCAATAGACTACAGTTCGACTCCATCTTTGAAAACCTCAATTATGAATGAGTGTTATTTGGATCTTCAAAGTACATTTTGTACATCAGTACAGACGCTGAGTTGAATTTTGGAGTTGGCGTCATCTTATGGACAGGATCAGCTATCACTTGAATTTTGGCACTCTTCGCAAATTTGCTCTACTTACAGAATATTCAGGTAAAATAGTGTTCAACAATATGTTATGCGACAATGAGCTGTTCCATTTATAGCAAAATTACATTGTGTGTAGCATATTCCCTTCATTTCCTTCAGGAAGTCCATAGCAATAAGCTAATTTAGAATATGAGAGAGATCATGTGGTGATCCAGACACATAACTGAATAATTAAAACAGTAAGATATAGAGAACAGTTTGCGTATTATGCGGGACGTAAATTTAAGTAACCCAGTGGTTTAAGCCGGCCACTGTTTTAGTGTTTAGGCTAGGACACAGACGACGGGATTTTATATATGGATGGCTCATCCTGCCACAGCACTGTCTCGGACGAAATTTTTTGATCTGTAAGGGGTCGATGGAATTCATGAATCCGACTGAAATACAGACAGTTCGCCTTCATCGATCAGTATTCTATTTTTACTGACAAAGATCGAAGAGGACTAGAACCTGCACTCTGCTGTTCTGATATGTTCTTACAAACGTAGTACCTTATGGAGCACGTGTGGGTATTGCGTATATCTAGGTGGTATTAAGGGTGCCTTGGTTACCACAGGGAAGATGTGTGATCAGATGCCTTAGTACCCAGACACAGGTGAGTACCTTATTTCGCACTTGAGAATATCTATGTTTACGCCCACTTAAACGTAGCGAAATGTCAGAAAGAGGTTCATCATCTTGCTTGCGGCCTCACGCACAAGAGAATCCTTTTCAGTGATAACTGACCCCATAATCAGTGAGCAAGGTTGCGATGACAGCTTTTTTATTCACTAACGTCCCAGTATACCGGGAAACGCAGTTAGGTGGACTAACTGAAACCTTTTTGTTGCAGTAACATTTAAACAATTCTAGGAGACATACCCTATGGATCATGGACTATAATGTTCTTTCAATAAGACTCGACACCATCTAACCTACCTATCATCTCATCCACTGT